AGCCTCATGCTGCCTGTGTTCCCAGGGCCAGTGGCATTGCCTCAGAGACCCCTCAGAGTTGGCTGGGTGTCTCTGGGCAACAGCAGCCAACTGATAATCAACCCGCGGTGGGAGAAGCCCTAACTGCATGTTCACAGCACCTGCAGGCAGCAGCAACATCAGGCAGAAACACAGGCAACAGGAAACTACTCAGCCCCTCCTCCACAAGCTGGCCCCTTGAACGCCCTCCTGTTGGTCCCTGGAAACCATGATCCCCTTTCAGCCTCCTGGCACACAGGGACACAAGGGGCAGTCCCATCACCACCCACCCTCACATTTGTCCACACATCCACGTGCTCTCCGATTGTAACTGCCAGTCTGACCCAGGTCCCTGTGGACACCCGTGGGAGCCTCACCCTGGCTTGGAAGAAGGAGCAGCATGAGTCCGCAGGCCAAGCTGCCAAGCCGGGTGCACAGCCAGTGCCGCCACATGTTCCCAGGCAGGTCCGTGTGTGTGCCACTGTATGCCCCCAGAGGCTGCCCTGAGTGCTGTAGGGGAGGAACAAGGCAATTGCCAAGCTGGAATTTGTACTGGGCAGGGACTGGGCGGAGTGAGCATTACTGGGCGGGGTTTGGGGTTCAAGGGAACCTACCCTGGCAGATATCAAAAGTGGACCCAAAGGCAACAAATGTAAACAGCCTCCCCATTTCGGTCCCTGTCACTGCTTGCCCCATGACACCCTCCCCTCAATACTGGAGCCACTGAAATCACTGTCCTCACAGAGGAGAACAAGTGGGCACTGGCCCATGAGTCCTCCCAAGGATCTTTTGTGGTAGCTACATCTGCACATGCACCTGCTCAGCCCTCATCAGCCCCTGGATTTTCTGGGAGCAGATACCAGGTCCAGAACTGGCACCTATGGTCAGGGTGGCTTGATCAGGTAGGGACTTCCCACCAGTTGACCCCATACTGGTGGTGCAGTCCCCTCTCTAGGACATATTTTGACACATGAAGCAATACAACCAAACACCACAGATTTCCTATTGGGAATTACAGCACTGCATAGCAACCTTGCCAAAAAAGCAAGCTGAAACCTAGAACCAGAATCTGAAGTCACCTCTAGAATAGAGTTACAAATGCACAGAGCACATGGGTATGATTCATTGCTACCACCAGGGCACCATCAGCAGAACCCACATGGTGCTACCAACCCTAGCAAAACCAGAAGGAAGTTCTTGGGTTCTTTAAAATCAGCACAATTAGAAGCAAATGAAAAGAGAGGCAGAGGCAAGAGGTGGCATGCAGAGTAAAAGAGACTCAAAACACAGTAAAATCAACAAGAACCGGCAATAGGTCATCAAGAGTATAGGTCAGGATGTGGAGAAATTGGAGCCTTCACAAAGTGCAAGTGGCAAGGGAATATGGTGCAACTGCTCTGGAAGCCAATTGGGCAGTTTTTCAAGTGATTGCAGCTGGCATTGCCATAGGACCAGTGGCTGCAACCCTAAATATCAACCCCAAAAGAACTGAAAGCACTGCCAAACACAGCCCTACAGTGAAGGAGCAGCTTGGGCAGCCTTCACCCTGCAACAAAGAGCCTGGGTTTAGCTTCCATATTTGCCACAGGAAGAGTGCACTCCAGACAAGGCAGAAGTTGCCTGGAGACAGTGACTGCTCTGGTGCTGGAGTCACCCACATTAGAGATTCAGTTTCCATCAACTCAGCTCACTGGGCTGACTGCAACCAGGCCGAAGATCGCCTTTGTGGTGGTTGTTGACATGTTTCCCATCATGCACCATAAACAGAGAGTGCCATAGCAAGTGAAACAATGCTTACGCTGTATTAGTGATAGATGAGCTGGAGCTGGATGATCACATAGAGGACATGGGCAGCTTCTACACAGGTGCTGCCCTGGTACCCAGGATGGCAGCATCTGCAGAGTCAGCATGGTGGTGCTGGACTCCCGGAATACCCAGAGACACCGTGTTCTTTCTGAGATGGGAACCAGCACAACACATGATTTCAATGGGAGCCACTAAGTGTGAGGTTGAGCCTTCTGCCTAGAATGTCCTGTTCACCTGGGAGAGACCAAGCAAAGACAAGGAGGGAGGGATCCTGTTGGATAAGCCCAGAAGAAGCAAGAGTGTGGACTGCTGCTGGCACATTAGATTGGGAAAGTGCAGAGGAAGAATCCTTGGGCTTTGGTTATTTTTGTATTTTCTTACAGATCTACTTACTTTTTAAAACGTCAAGTTTTCTGAGAGAGGGAGAGACAGAATTGTCTACTGGTTCCTCTTCAAACAGCCCAACAGCCAGGGCTGGGTCAGTCCTAAGCCAGGGACTTGGAACTCCATCTGTGTCTCTGCCATGGGTGCCTGGGCCCATGCATTGGGGCCATCTTCTGCTGCTTTCCCAGGTGCATTAGCAGAGAGAGAAGGATTGGAAGTAGATCAAGCACAACTGGAATGTGCACCCTTGTGGGATGCAGTGCTCCAAGTAGTAATTTAACCTGATGCTCTAGCAGGCTGGCTCCAGTCTGAGCCTTCTGAATGAGCAGATAAAAGATGAAGGACACACCCCAGGAGCCTGACATGTGTGGCCTGAGCTTTTGTTAAGAAGGCCATGCATGTAGGCCATCACCTACTCCCTAGGCAGCAGCATGGGGTACAGGTGCTCCTGAGTCTCAGAAGGGACCTAGAATTGGCACCCGAGGCTTCTGTAGTCTGCCCATCACTTACCTCTCAGGGGCCTCCTTGATTAGAGTTGTGGCAGAAACACTCAGGTTCATTACTATCCTTTGACTGGGCATATGCATTGGTGCATCCACAAGCACAGAAAGGAATGGGCCTAAATCCTGTCCCTGCACCTGTCCCATGGCTTATCCCGAGCAGCTCCACTCAAAACCTCCTGCTGAGCTCACAGCTTGTTGTTTCTAGTGCAGACATCACCCTCTCCCACTTCCTCTCAGGTGCCAGCCATTCCACCAACTCGGGCTCTAACTGCAGATCTGACCCGGGTCCCAGTGCCTGCATGCAGGAGCCTCATCCTGGCCAGTGATTAGGAGCAGCAGGAGCCCACAGGGCACGGCACAGAACCGCATACATATTCTGTGTGGCCACATGGTTCTGGGCATGTCTTCATGTGCTCCACTTGTGCCCCAGAGGCTGCCCTGGGCACCCTGGGTGCAGATCAAGATGTATCCATGCCAAAATCTGAAGTGAGCAGGAAGTGGGCTGGGCAGTCTTTGGGGCAGGGCAAGGAGATCTCATGGGAGAGCAGGAACCAGCTGAGCTGGTGGAAGTCAATGCAGGCGCAGTACTGGGGCTGCCTCTCTTCTCTCCTGGCTGCCCAGGACCCTCCTCTCAGTCTTGGAGTTATGGCCAACTGCAGTGTCAGGATAGACTGCAAGCAGCAATGAGTTTGTAATTGGATAACTCAGAAGGCATTCTTCGAAGAGGCATGAGGTTAAAATCCCCACAGATAACTGGCTCTGCACTTCCTGCTGGGTGTCATGGAGGCTCTGAGCTAAGGCTAGGAGGTGTGACTGTCCAGATCCTGGAAACTCCAGATTCTGCACTGGAGCTCCCTGCTTTTCTGGGCCCTTCCCCTGAGTGTTTCTGCTCTCCCCTCCCTACTCCATGGGACCCTTTCCTGCCCTAGTGCTGGTGGTGCCCCGGGTTTTCCATGTCCCCACCCTGCTCTGACACCAGTTCTTTTCTCCCCTTGACAAAGAAGCCTGCTGGTCATCCAGGCAGAGGAGTTCAACAGACACAGCTGAGTTGGGAGCCCTGCCCGGAGAGTCCATTCCTTCCCTAGGCAGTCTGTCTAACCCGCCCATGCTCAGATGCACTTGTGCTTCATGAGGATCAGAAAGAAGACACCTTGGTGGCTCAGGAGAAGTGCTGCTCCATGGGGAGGGAACGTACAAACCCCAGGAAGCATCACACAGGTCAGCGGGCTAGAAGGAGGACACACATTCATTCAGCCTGTGCATCTAGCAAGGAATAGAGTCCAGGATACAGAAAACTCAACTTATCAAACACATAGGAAGTGGACAGATCGCGGTAGGCCTTTGCTACAGTGGCTAAGATGTGAAGAGAATGACTATGTTCCGTATCCTTTGACTTCCTTGGCCCCCACACTCTGATTCCTACCCCTAGCTTCCTGCTAGGCAAAGGAGATGGTTCAAATGATTGGGTCCCAGACACCCACAGAGGAAACCTGATTGTTTTGTGACTCCCAGTTCTTGCGTCCAGGCCTCAGGAAACACATGGGACATGACTCAGAGGATGAGAGCCCTTGCTTTCTTTATTCATCTTTCTCTCCTTGCCTCTACCTCTCAAGTGGATAGATTTTTTTTTCATTGGTCAAAAGATCTGAATAAATATTTCCAATAACACAATATACAGAAGGCTAACAAATACCTTTTATGTGTGTGTATATTTAAAGATTTATTTTATTTGAAAGATAGTGTTACAGAGACAATTGCATGAGTATGTGGCAAGGTTACCCGGATGAGTATTTCTCAGCTGAAGGAATGGGAGCCTTTATTTGTGGCAACATGAAGGGAGTGGAAGGAGGCCACTCATGGCAGCCTGAGGGCACCAGGACACCGTGTCTCCAGGTGCCCAGGTCCCCTATGGGTTGCTTACAGACATGAGCTCGCAGGATGTGCTGGGCGGAATATGAAGGCTTCTGACACCTAGGGTGGACAACAACCCACAAAGCAGTTCCCACTGGATTTCTATGGCCTGGGGTTAGGAAGAGAGGAGAGGATCAGGAAGAGGAAGAAGAGGAGGTGAGAAAGACATGTCCTATGCCAGTTGGAGATGAGGAAAGTGGGCTTCTGCAGGTTGTGACTGCACAGCCTCATGGGAATGGTGTGAGTACAACTGACACAGGGAACCCAGGGCAAGAACACAGAGCCTCAGGCAGCAGGTGCTCCACAAAGGTATGCCAAAGGGAAGGAGGGCAGGTAAGTGACTGCTGTGGATGGGACCAGGACACCCACCTAGACACAGGCAGCTACAGCTCTGTGTGCTTCTGCTCAGCCCCCATCAGCTCCTGCATCTTCTTGGGCAGAGTTTGTGCCCAGAACTGGCGTCTGTGGGCCTTCAGAGCCCGGCCCACTGCAGGCTGTGTGCTCAGCTGTAGGTACTGCTCCTCCTGGTCCAAGACAGGCCAGTGTGGCAGGCCCTCGCCATTGGGGTTCCTACAGATGAGAGGTCAGGGAGGGGTTAACACAGGGACTCTGAGCAGCCTACCTGAGGTCCAGACAGACCACTATGCAGACCAGTAGGGTTGGAAATAAATTTCCAGGTTCGGGAAGCTGTTATGTTGCCTGGTGTCAGATCCACATGGGGACCTCACAATCCAGGCTGTATTACCCTCTCTCCCATGGGGAGCCTCTGAGGTTAAAACCTGATGTCAAGACCATAAGCTGGATGGGTAGAGTGTCCCTGGTCGCTAGGACCCATGTATGTGCCACTGGGGAAGGGAGCTGAAACTGGGGAGGGAGCTGTCACATGACCCAGAACACCGGGCTGCTGCTGTGGTTCCCACAGGGAAGGGTCCCGTGGTCCCAGGGAGGTGGGAGGTTGGAGCGTCTTACCCCGTGCGAGCAAAGTTGGCCCAGTACTTCATCATCCTCCTGCTCAGCAGCTCCTCCTCCTCAGTGAGAGTCACTGCAGTGAGAAAGGATACAGGGTCAGCTCAAGTAGGAGCAGGCCCACTGCCCCACCTTGGCCACACTTGCCAACCCAATGGAGCTTGACCCTTGGCTGCCAATATGAAATTCACCTGCTACTGACCACAAGGATTTGGCTTTTTCTTTGCTAAATGAAGCCTGACCTCATAGTCACCTGAACTTGGCCTCTTACTGGCCCAGTAGGTTTTCACTCTTATGACCTTGGCATATCACTCAGTAGACAACTCTGTACCCAGGACAGACTCTTTTCATGGTGCCGGGCAGAGGAGGAGGGAGCTGGGTTTCGAGGCACTCACAGTACAGTCCTGGCTCAGCCCTGGGAACTGTGAGACTTGGAGTGCTTAATTCCATCTGAGCCTCAGCCCTTTCATATGTGCAGTGGTCACAGCACCCCCTCAGGACTGCCAACTGGTGCATCCCCATCCTAGGAAGGAGGAAGCCTCACCTTTTTTCCCAAAGAAAATTGATCTGAAGAAAAAAGCCACTTCATCGCCATGGTCGGCCTTGACGTGGGGTGGCCGGAAGTCCTTCATGAAACTGGGTGAATGCTGGAACTCGTAGAAGTAGACAGGGGCATGGGAACCTGGGTAACAGGTGCACAGGGTGATGGATGGAGGCCCTTCCCCTGGGTTTCTCATACTACCCAAGAGGACAGTAGAGCAATGCCCACTTGGTCTGACTCAGGTGGTGCTGGTGGAGTCCCAGGTGAGAAGGTCAGTGGCAAGGGCCTGAGGTTAGGTATTGGTCTTGGACTTTGTAGCTGGAAGGTATTGACACAATGTAGCTAACTCAGCCGTGCTACAATCTTGTCTCTTCCCCTGTCCCCTGATGTCCATCTCCTAAACTAACAGGATGGTGAACTTAAATAAGGACATGGGTACTTGGCTCTGAGGGACCCAGCCATATATGCATAGGAGCCAGCATATGACATACCTCCCCGAACCAAAAGCTGTGCGCTCAGCCCTGGCCAGTAAAAGCAGAACCCCAGTTAGTGTGGCCATAGCCGCAGGTGAACTCACGCTGAAAATGTGCAACGTGGAGCGCTGGCATCACGAAGAGTGAGTCTGCCATCATCTCCTGGTACTGAGCCATGAGGGTCTTGGGGTCCTTGTTGTCCCCCAGGTACTCATCCACCAACTGTTCCCCTATACCAGGAGGCAGCATCTAGCCCGAGGAACAGGAACAGAGTCATCATCAGCTCACTGCCAGGGAGAGAGACAACTGACCCATGTACTGGACAAAGACAGGGAATGGGGCAAAGGAGCAGGTTCGTGGTCACCCCATCCCCAAGCACACAGACTGCCAGTGTGTCTCGGTTCCAGGAGTCCCCAAGGGGCAGGGATCTGTTGGCCGGGAGCCGAAGGGTCTCACCCACTGCTCAGATGTTTGATGTATTAGTGTCTCCATGGCCACTCTGTTAATTTCATCCTCAGTGTGTCTGACACCGAAGAACTGTGGAGCGAGCAGAGGATTTTAGGTTGGGAGTTGTTCTCCTGGGAGCTCTGCCCCCTCAGGCCTGGCCTTGAGACAGACTCCTGTGAACTCAGCCTGGACTCACTTTGAGGAGGATCCAACCGTACTCATCGTTGTTGACACCAATGATGCTGGGGACCGGCTGGAAGTCAGCAGAGGCCAGCAGCTCATAGGGGTGTCTGGGAAAGAAGATGCCATCTACCACACCGGAGATGATCTTGAAGGCCTAGGGACACCCAGGACAGTGGAGAAGATTTATGATCCAGAATTTTCTTTTGCTCTTGAAACTCTCCCTTAACCCAGGATCACTCAGCGGCCTTACAGCTCAACACATGGAGTACCATGTCTGGCTTACAGGACTTGGTCATCTCTATGCATCGAGTACTGGGAGGGGAGGAAGGCATGGACATGAGCTGGTAGCCCAGAGACTCTGAAGGGCACCAGAGTCTATCACCCATTTGTCCCAGTGAATGAGGTCCCACCTTGTTCATTGCCAGGATCTCCTCTTCACTCTTGGCCCGCAAGCAGCCCACCAGGGTCTCAGAGTCCACCTGGCCACAGCCAGACAGGTTGGTCACCACCTGAATAGGAAGCACATGGGCTAGACATCCATGTAAGAGAAGAAGGAGGGTGCCCAAGGCCCAGCTGGAGGCAGGAACAGTCTCATGGGTGTGCAGTTGCAGCCTTGACACTCACTAGTCCTCTCTCCCCGACTTGGAGCATCTCAGCCTCAGGGAGCTGACCTGGTTGTCTGGTTACAGACTAGGTGGACCTCACAGCGCCACTTTTCAGGGCCCACAACTGTATCAGACTCTACTGAGGCACAGGCATGTGGATTTTGACACCTGAGCCCCTCAGCCATCCCTTGGGTGGGCAGTGCCAAGTCGCATGATGGTCCATGTGTTTTGACACAACAGAGAAAGTAGCAGAGGCTCCAGGAGAGAAGATGGGAGTTATAGGTCAAGGCTGCACCAGTGAAGGAAACTCACCGAGGAGATCGTCTCAGATGAGCTGGTGATGATGCCAGGCAGCACAGCCACCCCACTCTCCATGATGGCTCCGTGGAAGAGTCCTTGCGACATGGGCGACAGCACGTGTGAGGACACGCTTACACCACCGGCAGACTCGCCAAATATGGTGACCCGATCAGGGTTGCCTCCAAAGTGGGCAATGTTCTGCTGCACCCAGCGCAGTGCAGCCACTTGGTCCAGGTAGCCCCAGTTGCCGCTGGCGTGCTGGTCTCCAGTGCTGAGAAGTAGGAAGGACAGGGATGGCAGGGCTGTGCCAGGACTGTTCCTCCCTCAGTGCCCGACCCAGGCCCAGGCCCAGGCTTACCTGAAGAATCCCAGGATGCCCAGGCGGTACTGGATGGTGACCACCACTACATCCTCAAAGGCTGCCAGGGTGGAGCCATCATATGCCGAAGCAAAGCCTACAACCAATGCACCTCCATGGATCCATACCATCACCTTGAAAGTCAGGGTAAATACTGTGAGGTTTCCCAGTCCTGAGCCCTGCAACCCCCAGTTCCCTAGGTATATCTCCTGGACAGCTGGGTGCTACAGGTGTTCTGGGTCCATTAGGGCCCATATATTCTGTCTTCTCATAACAGTCTTCTGGGACCTCATGCCCAGTGCTCAGCTGCCCACCCAGGAGAAGAGGCACTTCCTGGACCCCACAGGGAGGAGCTGCTCACCAGGATCCATGACATGGGAGGATACAGTCACCTTTCCCTTCCCCATCCTCCAGTCAGGGCAAGATGTCCTCCCACCCTCAGCTGCCCCTGACCTCCCACTCACAGGCAGCTTGGAGCCCTCATGGGCATGGCCTGGTGCGTAGATGTTGAGGTAAAGGCAGTCCTCAGACATGGGAATGGACAACATTGTGAAATTCAGTTTTTTAGCAACAACACCCATTATATCGAGGTTCTGTGGACACCTGAAATCACCCAATCAGACATTAGTGCAGGATCCATGCAGTGGCCCAAGCCAGAGCCTGGGTCCCTGATTCTCTCCTTTGCTCTTCCCTGTGATGCTGCTCATTCTTAAGCCTGCCCTCATATCCCTTCTGTCCCAGATACACATCTGAAACTGCTGGGAAGCTGGGATCGCACCAGTTTCCAGGGACCTTCCAGGCAGGTGGAGACTGATATAGCACACCTTACTCTTGGGGTCTCCTGGCAGGTTTTGCCTGCAGGTGCTGACTTCAGTGTGTCCCTCTGCACAGTCAGGCCCTGAGCACAGGTGCCTCCCCAACACACTCTGGGTGTTTGGATGCCCATCCCTTCCTGAGGGAAGACAGTGAGATGGCCAATTTCCTGGGATCCTTGGCACTCATCACTCCTGCCCTGCCTCCAGCTGTGATACACACACACATCTTTTGGCTAATATCCTTTTCCGTGGTTTAGCTCTGTGCTCATGCCTGGTTCCACTGGTGCCCATCTAAGTACCTGCAGGATCTATTGATGCAATTAGGGACTCCTACAAGCTTTGGCTAGACCACCTGGGGAACTCACCCAGGACAATGCCCCCTCACCAGGGCAGCACAAGAATGTGGCAGAAGCTAAACTTGGGGAGCTGAGTCTCTCCCTCCATCTTCAGCACCTGGAACTAAAAGCCTCAGAGTCCCAAGTCCTGAGCCAAGAACCTGGCAGGAGCCTGGCAAGCCCACTGAAAGTGTTCTCGCAGGAAGTCCACAGCACACAGATGGTTAGTAGTGATGAATGACTTGAACGTTGGCCCTGAAAATTGATAATGCCCCCTGCCCTTTTAGACCCGACCCCATTTTAAATATTTGCTTCCCTTAGGTCTCGATTTCCTTCAGGTTTGCCCTTTAGGTTCAAATTTTGCTCTTTGTCAATCAACTGTAAACTTGTAATCTTGCTCTCCATCAATCCACTGTAACCTCATGACTCTGTACTCTACAACTCTATCCACCAATTCCTTGCAGCCCATATCTCTTGTTCCCACCCTGACAGCCATCCCAGCCCCTATTCACAATACCCTCCCCTTGGTCATCAAAGCATATTCCCACATGTACTCTTTCTCTGCTCCTGCTTCTTCCCCATGGCCACCTTTCGCATTGGAATAAAAACCTCCTATATGACTCACAAAAGATTCCTGAGAGGTAGGCATTGGCTGTGGATGAAAAGACAGCTGGCTTGACCTAGCACTTGGAGGTTCCCAAACCCACCCTGGACCTGATGCTCCTCAGGCCCCTGGAAGAGCTCACATGGCTGGGTAGGAGGTGCCATCCCTCACTCCACTCCAAGCTTCAGCAGGTTCAGGAGGTGCAAAACGCAGTGGCCCCAGAGGTGGCTTGGCAAAGGGAATGCCCAGGAAGGTGTGGACGCCCACGTTGGTGCCTTTCACATGGACCAGGCTTCCTCGCACCTGCCCAGAGTGTGTTGTCCTGATGGGGCTTGTGGAGTCCTGGCCTGTGGGCAGAGAGATACAATCAGGGAGAGTTGCTCCTGACAATGCTGCTGTGGCTTCCCTCTTACCATCCTCAGCTCAGCCTTGTCCAGAACACGATGCACACCAACACACACACTCACTTTATGAAGTTCCTGTGTGAAATATCCTGATTCCATCCTAATGAGATGATCAGAAAGAGCCCATTTGTAGTGACCAAAAGCCCTTGTGGACTTTCACAGCTGAGGTCAGGAACTATACTCAGTGAGAAGTAAAAGAGAGGGAAAAAATAAGAGAATCTTCCATTCATTAATTCATTAATTCACTCTCCAGAAGGCCACTATACCTTGGGCAGGCCCAGGCTAAAGCCAGGAGCCAGAAATTCCATCTAGGTCTCCCACTTGGGTGGCAGCAGGAGCCAAAGCACTCAGGCCATCTTCTGCTGCTTTCGCAGGTGCTTTAGCAGGCGGCTGAATCAGAAGTGGAGTAGCCAGGACTCAAACTTGAGTTCTTACAGGATGCTGGCACTGCAGGTGGCAACTTAACCCTCTGCATGTCAGTGCTGATTCCTCTGTTTCTTCTTTAAAAAAAGTTTTCCAGGAAAAAACAACTTATAAGCACATCATAATAGTACCAAAAATGTATTTTTGTGTTGTTTTCAGGGATGTGGAACTGCAACACTCCAGGGAACACCTGAACCTTCTTGTAACATTGGGAGACTCTTTGCCCACACCAAGAATCAGCTGTAGTCTTTCTGAACATAGAACCCACATGAAATATTGTTAGAGTCCTAGAGACAGGGCTGTGGCCTATAAGTTAACTGTTTCCAGTAATGCCACCACCCCATATCAGAGCACCCATGGGAGTCCCAGCTCACTGCTAATGCACCTGGGAAGGCAGCAGAGGACAGCCTGAGTGCTTGGGCCCATGTCACTCATGTGGAGTTCCTGGTTCTTGGTTTCCATGTAGCCCATCTCCACCTGCCACGGCCCTTTTTGGAGTGAGCCAGCCCCTGGAAGATCTCTTTCTCCCTCACTTTCATTAAGCTGTCTTTCAAATAATTAAAACCTTAAAGAAATTGATAAGTAACTGATTAATAGAGTCATCTGAAAGGCCAGGTAGCCTTCCCTCCAGAAAGACTGAATCACCTTGTAGAGTGAGGGCAAGGGGAGGTAAAGGTGAAATTTCAGCAGGGGTTGGAGGGGGAGGATGGGCAGAGGGCAGGGTGAGTATGGATCCCTTTTGGCAGATTAGATTGAGAAACTGTTGGGGGGGTAAACGGGTGGGGGAGGAGGCCTTTTGACCCAGAGTATCAAGGATCAAAACACACCCAGGTCTGGTGCCCACATAGGCAGAACTCTGAGATAGACCCAAGGGCACTGGCAGGCACAGGGTACCATCAGCTTTGCCTTCAATTACAAGCCTATGGGGAGCTAGCAGCGTGGTGTTGCAGGCTAAGCTTCTGCATGTGGCACCACCATCCCATATTGCTTCAAGTGCTGGCTGCTCCACTTCCTATCCAGCTCAGTAATAATGTGCTTGGGAAAGCAGTTGTTAGTAGCCCAAGTCCTTGGTCACTGCATCACCTCCCTCTGCCCTCCCCGCAGGAGTCCAGAGGAAGCTCCTGGCTCCGATCCTTAGCTCCTGCCGTTGTGGCCATTTGGGGTATAAACCCCAGGATGGAAGATTTCTCTCCCTGGCTCTCCTCTTTCACTAAATCTGCCTTCCCAATAAGAATACAAACAATTGGAAAAAAAAGAAAAGAAAAGAGAACTTTTGCCCCCAGGAAAGGTGCATGAGCTGGGGGACCCTGTGGACCCTCAGACCAGCTGCAGCCTCATGCTGCCTGTGTTCCCAGGGCCAGTGGCATTGCCTCAGAGACCCCTCAGAGTTGGCTGGGGGTCTCTGGGCAAGAGCAGCCAACTGATAATCAACCCGCAGTGGGAGAAGCCCTAACTGCATGTTCACAGCACCTGCAGGCAGCAGCAACATCAGGCAGAAACACAGGCAGCAGGAAACTACTCAGCCCCTCCTCCACAAGCTGGCCCCTTGAACGCCCTCCTGTTGGTCTCCCTTCTCACTGCATCTGGTCCCTGGAAACCATGATCCCCTTTCAGCCTCCTGGCACACAGGGACACAAGGGGCAGTCCCATCACCACCCACCCTCACATTTGTCCACACCATCCCATGTGCTCTCCAGCTGGAACTGCAAATCAAACCCAGGTCCCTGTGGACACCCGTGGGAGCCTCACCCTGGCTTGGAAGAAGGAGCAGCATGAGTCCGCAGGCCAAGCTGCCAAGCCGGGTGCACAGCCAGTGCCGCCACATGTTCCCAGGCAGGTCCGTGTGTGTGCCACTGTATGCCCCAGAGGCTGCCCTGAGTGCTGTAGGGGAGGAACAAGGCAATTGCCAAGCTGGAATTTGTACTGGGCAGGGACTGGGCGGAGTGAGCATTACTGGGCGGGGTTTGGGGTTCAAGGGGAACCTACCCTGGCAGATATCAGAAGTGGACCCAAAGGCAACAAATGTGAACATAGCCTCCCCATTTCGGTCCCTGTCACTGCTTGCCCCATGACACCCTCCTCTCAATACTGGAGCCACTGAGCTCACAGAGGAGAACAAGTGGGCACTGGCCCATGAGTCCTCCCAAGGATCTTTTGTGGTAGCTGCATCTGCACATGCACCTGCTCAGCCCTCATCAGCTCCTGGATCTTCTGGGAGCAGATACCAGGTCCAGAACTGGCACCTATGGTCAGGGTGGCTTGATCAGGTAGGGACTTCCCACCAGTTGACCCCATACTGGTGGTGCAGTCCCCTCTCTAGGACAAATTTTGACACATGAAGCAGTACAACCAAACACCACAGATTTCCTATTGGGAATTACAGCACTGCATAGCAACCTTGCCAAAAAAGCAAGCTGAAACCTAGAACCAGAATCTGAAGTCACCTCTAGAATAGAGTTACAAATGCACAGAGCACATGAGTATGATTCATTGCTACCACCAGGGCACCATCAGCAGAACCCACATGGTGCTACCAACCCTAGCAAAACCAGAAGGAAGTTCTTGGGTTCTTTAAAATCAGCACAATTAGAAGCAAATGAAAAGAGAGGCAGAGGCAAGAGGTGGCATGCAGAGTAAAAGAGACTCAAAACACAGTAAAATCAACAAGAACCGGCAACAGGTCATCAAGAGTATAGGTCAGGATGTGGAGAAATTGGAGCCTTCACAAAGTGCAAGTGGCAAGGGGATATGGTGCAACTGCTCTGGAAGCCAATTGGGCAGTTTTTCAAGTGATTGCAGCTGGCATTGCCATAGGACCAGTGGCTGCAACCCTAAATATCAACCCCAGAAGAACTGAAAGCACTGCCAAACACAGCCCTACAGTGAAGGAGCAGCTTGGGCAGCCTTCGCCCTGCAACAAAGAGCCTGGGTTTAGCTTCCATATTTGCCACAGGAAGAGTGCACTCCGGACAAGGCAGAAGTTGCCTGGAGACAGTGACTGCTCTGGTGCTGGAGTCACCCACATTAGAGATTCAGTTTCCATCAACTCAGCCCACTGGGCTGACTGCAACCAGGCCAAAGATCGCCTTTGTGGTGGTTGTTGACATGTTTCCCATCATGCACCATAAACAGAGAGTGCCATAGCAAGTGAAACAATGCTTACGCTGTATTAGTGATAGATGAGCTGGAGCTGGATGATCACATAGAGGACATAGGCAGCTTCTACACAGGTGCTGCCCTGGTACCCAGGATGGCAGCATCTGCAGAGTCAGCATGGTGGTGCTGGACTCCCGGAATACCCAGAGACTCCGTGTTCTTTCTGAGATGGGAACCAGCACAACACATGATTTCAATGGGAGCCACTAAGTGTGAGGTTGAGCCTTCTGCCTAGAATGTCCTGTTCACCTGGGAGAGACCAAACAAAGACAAGGAGGGAGGGATCCTGTTGGATAAGCCCAGAAGAAGCAAGAGTGTGGACTGCTGCTGGCACATTAGATTGGGAAAGTGCAGAGGAAGAATCCTTGGGCTTTGGTTATTTTTGTATTTTCTTACAGATCTACTTACTTTTTAAAACGTCAAGTTTTCTGAGAGAGGGAGAGACAGAATTGTCTACTGGTTCCTCTTCAAACAGCCCAACAGCCAAGGCTGGGTCAGTCCTAAGCCAGGGACTTGGAGCTCCATCTGTGTCTCTGCCATGGGTGCCGGGGCCCATGCATTGGGGCCATCTTCTGCTGCTTTCCCAGGTGCATTAGCAGAGAGAGAAGGATTGGAAGTAGATCAAGCACAACTGGAATGTGCACCCTTGTGGGATGCAGTGCTCCAAGTAGTAATTTAACCTGATGCTCTAGCAGGCTGGCTCCAGTCTGAGCCTTCTGAATGAGCAGATAAAAGATGAAGGACACACCCCAGGAGCCTGACATGTGTGGCCTGAGCTTTTGTTAAGAAGGCCATGCATGTAGGCCATCACCTACTCCCTAGGCAGCAGCATGGGGTACAGGTGCTCCTGAGTCTCAGAAGGGACCTAGAATTGGCACCCGAGGCTTCTGTAGTCTGCCCATCACTTACCTCGCAGGGGCCTCCTTGATTAGAGTTGTGGCAAAAACACTCAGGTTCATTACTATCCTTTGACTGGGCATATGCATTGGTGCATCCACAAGCACGGAAAGGAATGGGCCTAAATCCTGTCCCTGCACCTGTCCCATGGCTTATCCCGAGCAGCTCCACTCAAAACCTCCTGCTGAGCTCACAGCTTGTTGTTTCTAGTGCAGACATCACCCTCTCCCACTTCCTCTCAGGTGCCGGCCATTCCACCAACTCGGGCTCTAACTGCAGATCTGACCCGGGTCCCAGTGCCTGCATGCAGGAGCCTCATCCTGGCCAGTGATTAGGAGCAGCAGGAGCCCACAGGGCACGGCACAGAACCGCATACATATTCTGTGTGGCCACATGGTTCTGGGCATGTCTTCATGTGCTCCACTTGTGCCCCAGAGGCTGCCCTGGGCACCCTGGGTACAGATCAAGATGTATCCATGCCAAAATTTGAAGTGGGCAGGAAGTGGGCTGGGCAGTCTTTGGGGCAGGGCAAGGAGATCTCATGGGAGAGCAGGAACCAGCTGAGCTGGTGGAAGTCAATGCAGGCGCAGTACTGGGGCTGCTTCTCTTCTCTCCTGGCTGCCCAGGACCCTCCTCTCAGTCTTGGAGTTATGGCCAACTGCAGTGTCAGGATAGACTGCAAGCAGCAATGAGTTTGTAATTGGATAACTCAGAAGGCGTTCTTTGAAGAGGCATGAGGTTAAAATCCCCACAGATAACTGGCTCTGCACTTCCTGCTGGGTGTCATGGAGGCTCTGAGCTAAGGCTAGGAGGTGTGACTGTCCAGATCCTGGAAACTCCAGATTCCGCACTGGAGCTCCCTGCTTTTCTGGGCCCTTCCCCTGAGTGTTTCTGCTCTCCCCTCCCTACTCCATGGGACCCTTTCCTGCCCTAGTGCTGGTGGTACCCTGGGTTTTCCATGTCCCCACCCTGCTCTGACACCAGTTCTTTTCTCCCCTTGACAAAGAAGCCTGCTGGTCATCCAGGCAGAGGAGTTCAACAGACACAGCTGAGTTGGGAGCCCTGCCCGGAGAGTCCATTCCTTCCCTAGGCAGTCTGTCTAACCCGCTCATACTCAGATGCACGTGTGCTTCATGAGGATCAGAAAGAAGACACCTTGGTGGCTCAGGAGAAGTGCTGCTCCATGGGGAGGGAACGTACAAACCCCAGGAAGCATCACACAGGTCAGCGGGCTAGAAGGAGGACACACATTCATTCAGCCTGTGCATCTAGCAAGGAATAGAGTCCAGCATACAGAAAACTCAACTTATCAAACACATAGGAAGTGGACAGATCGCGGTAGGCCTTTGCTACAGTGGCTAAGATGTGAAGAGAATGACTATGTTCCGTATCCTTTGACTTCCTTGGCCCCCACACTCTGATTCCTACCCCTAGCTTCCTGCTAGGCAAAGGAGATGGTTCAAATGATTGGGTCCCAGACACCCACAGAGGAAACCTGATTGTTTTGTGACTCCCAGTTCTTGCGTCCAGGCCTCAGGAAACACATGGGACATGACTCAGAGGATGAGAGCCCTTGCTTTCTTTATTCATCTTTCTCTCCTTGCCTCTACCTCTCAAGTGGATAGATTTTTTTTAATTGGTCAAAAGATCTGAATAAATATTTCCAATAACACAATATACAGAAGGCTAACAAATACCTTTTATGTGTGTGTATATTTAAAGATTTATTTTATTTGAAAGATAGTGTTACAGAGACAATTGCATGAGTATGTGGCAAGGTTACCCGGATGAGTATTTCTCAGCTGAAGGAATGGGAGCCTTTATTTGTGGCAACATGAAGGGAGTGGAAGGAGGCCACTCATGGCAGCCTGAGGGCACCAGGACACCGTGTCTCCAGGTGCCCAGGTCCCCTATGGGTTGCTTACAGACATGAGCTCGCAGGATGTGCTGGGCGGAATATGAAGGCTTCTGACACCTAGGGTGGACAACAACCCACAAAGCAGTTCCCACTGGATTTCTATGGCCTGGGGTTAGGAAGAGAGGAGAGGATCAGGAAGAGGAAGAAGAGGAGGTGAGAAAGACATGTCCTATGCCAGTTGGAGATGAGGAAAGTGGGCTTCTGCAGGTTGTGACTGCACAGCCTCATGGGAATGGTGTGAGTACAACTGACACAGGGAACCCAGGGCAAGAACACAGAGCCTCAGGCAGCAGGTGCTCCACAAAGGTATGCCAAAGGGAAGGAGGGCAGGTAAGTGACTGCTGTGGATGGGACCAGGACACCCACCTAGACACAGGCAGCTACAGCTCTGTGTGCTTCTGCTCAGCCCCCATCAGCTCCTGCATCTTCTTGGGCAGAGTTTGTGCCCAGAACTGGCGTCTGTGGGCCTTCAGAGCCCGGCCCACTGCAGGCTGTGTGCTCAGCTGTAGGTACTGCTCCTCCTGGTCCAAGACAGGCCAGTGTGGCAGGCCCTCGCCATTGGGGTTCCTACAGATGAGAGGTCAGGGAGGGGTTAACACAGGGACTCTGAGCAGCCTACCTGAGGTCCAGACAGACCACTATGCAGACCAGTAGGGTTGGAAATAAATTTCCAGGTTCGGGAAGCTGTTATGTTGCCTGGTGTCAGATCCACATGGGGACCTCCCAATCCAGGCTGTATTACCCTCTCTCCAATGGGGAGTTTCGGAGGTTAAAACCTGATGTCAAGATCATAAGCTGGATGGGTAGAGTGTCCCTGGTCGCTAGGACCCATGTATGTGCCACTGGGGAAGGGAGCTGAAACTGGGGAGGGAGCTGTCACATGACCCAGAACACCGGGCTGCTGCTGTGGTTCCCACAGGGAAGGGTCCCGTGGTCCCAGGGAGGTGGGAGGTTGGAGCGTCTCACCCGGTGCGAGCAAAGTTGGCCCAGTACTTCATCATCCTCCTGCTCAGCAATTCCTCCTCCTCAGTGAGAGTCACTGCAGTGAGAAAGGATACAGGGTCAGCTCAAGTAGGAGCAGGCCCACTGCCCCACCTTGGCCACACTTGCCAACCCAATGGAGCTTGACCCTTGGCTGCCAATATGAAATTCACCTGCTACTGACCACAAGGATTTGGCTTTTTCTTTGCTAAATGAAGCCTGACCTCATAGTCACCTGAACTTGGCCTCTTACTGGCCCAGTAGGTTTTCACTCTTATGACCTTGGCATATCACTCAGTAGACAACTCTGTACCCAGGACAGACTCATCATGGGGCCGGGCAGAGGAGGAGGGAGCTGGGTTTCGAGGCACTCACAGTACAGTCCTGACTCAGCCCTGGGAACTGTGAGACTTGGAGTGCTTAATTCCATCTGAGCCTCAGCCCTTTCATATGTGCAGTGGGCACAGCATCCCCTCAGGACTGCCAACTGCTGCATCCCCATCCTAGGAAGGAGGAAGCCTCACCTTTTTTCCCAAAGAAAATTGATCTGAAGACAAAAGCAACTTCATCGCCATGGTCGGCCTTGACGTGGGGTGGCCGGAAGTTCTTTGCAAATTTGGGCGAATGCTGGAACTCGTAGAAGTAGACAGGGGCATGGGAACCTGGGTAACAAGTGCACAGGGTGATGGATGGAGGCCCTTCCCCTGGGTTTCTCATACTACCCAAGAGGACAGTAGAGCAATGCCCACTTGGTCTGACTCAGGTGGTGTTGGTGGAGTCCCAGGTGAGGTCAGTGGCAAGGGCCTGAGGTTAGGTATTGGTCTTGGACTTTGTAGCTGGAAGGTATTGACACAATGTAGCTAACTTAGCCTTGCTACAATCTTGTCTCTTCCCCTGTCCCCTGATGTCCATCTCCTAAACTAACAGGATGGTGAACTTAAATAAGGACATGGGTACTTGGCTCTGAGGGACCCAGCCATATGTGGATAGAAGCCAGCATATGACATACCTCCCCGAACCAAAAGCTGTGTGCTCAGCCCTGGCCAGTAAAAGCAGAACCCCAGTTAGTGTGGCCATAGCTGCAGGTGAACTCACGCTGAAAATGTGCAACATGGAGCGCTGGCATCACGAAGAGTGAGTCTGCCATCATCTCCTGGTACTGAGCCATGAGGGTCTTGGGGTCCTTGTTGTCCCCCAGGTACTCATCCACCAACTGTTCCCTTATACCAGGAGGCAGCATCTAGCCCGAGGAACAGGAACAGAGTCATCATCAGCTCACTGCCAGGGAGAGAGACAACTGACCCATGTCCTGGACAAAGACAGGGAATGGGGCAAAGGAGCAGGTTCGTGGTCACCCCATCCCCAAGCACACAGACTGCCAGTGTGTCTCGGTTCCAGGAGTCCCCAAGGGGCAGGGATCTGTTGGCCGGGAGCCCAAGGGTCTCACCCACTGCTCAGATGTTTGATGTATTAGTGTCTCCATGGCCACTCTGTTAATTTCATCCTCAGTGTGTCTGACACCGAAGAACTGTGGAGCAAGCAGAGGATTTCAGGTTGGGAGTTGTTCTCCTGGGAGCTCTGCCCTCTCAGGCCTGGCCTTGAGACAGACTCCTGTGAACTCAGCCTGGACTCACTTTGAGGAGGATCCAACCGTACTCATCGTTGTTGACACCAATGATGCTGGGGACCGGCTGGAAGTCAGCAGAGGCCAGCAGCTCATAGGGGTGTCTGGGAAAGAAGATGCCATCTACCACACCGGAGATGATCTTGAAGGCCTAGGGACACCCAGGGCAGTGGAGAAGATTTATGATCCAGAATTTTCTTTTGCTCTTGAAACTCTCCCTTAACCCGGGATCACTCAGTGGCCTTACAGCTCAACACATGGAGTACCATGTCTGGCTTACAGGACTTGGTCATCTCTATGCATCGAGTACTGGGAGGGGAGGAAGGCATGAACATGAGCTGGTAGCCCAGAGACTCTGAAGGGCACCAGAGTCTATCACCCATTTGTCCCAGTGAATGAGGTCCCACCTTGTTCATTGCCAGGATCTCCTCTTCACTCTTGGCCCGCAAGCAGCCCACCAGGGTCTCAGAGTCCACCTGGCCACAGCCAGACAGGTTGGTCACCACCTGAATAGGAAGCACATGGGCTAGACATCCATGTAAGAGAAGAAGGAGGGTGCCCAAGGCCCAGCTGGAGGCAGGAACAGTCTCATGGGTGTGCAGTTGCAGCCTTGACACTCACTAGTCCTCTCTCCCCGACTTGGAGCATCTCAACCTCAGTGAGCTGACCTGGTTGTCTGGTTACAGACTAGGTGGACCTCACAGGGCCACTTTTCAGGGCCCACAACTGTGTCAGACTCTACTGAGGCACAGGCATGTGGATTTTGACACCTGAGCCCCTCAGCCATCCCTTGGGTGGGCAGTGCCAAGTCGCATGATGGTCCATGTGTTTTGACACAACAGAGAAAGTAGCAGAGGCTCCAGGAGAGAAGATGGGAGTTATAGGTCAAGGCTGCACCAGTGAAGGAAACTCACCGAGGAGATCGTCTCAGATGAGCTGGTGATGATGCCAGGCAGCACAGCCACTCCACTTTCCATGATGGCTCCGTGGAAGAGTCCTTGCGACACGGGTGACAGCACGTGTGAGGACACGCTTACACCACCGGCAGACTCGCCAAAAATGGTGACCCGATCAGGGTTGCCTCCAAAGTGGGCAATATTCTGCTGCACCCAGCGCAGTGCAGCCACTTGGTCCAGGTAGCCCCAGTTGCCGCTGGCGTGCTGGTCTCCAGTGCTGAGAAGTAGGAAGGACAGGGATGGCAGGGCTGTGCCAGGACTGTTCCTCCCTCAGTGCCCGGCCCAGGCCCAGGCTTACCTGAAGAATCCCAGGATGCCCAGGCGGTACTGGATGGTGACCACCACTACATCCTCAAAGGCTGCCAAGGTGGAGCCATCATATGCCGAAGCAAAGCCTACAACCAATGCACCTCCATGGATCCATACCATCACCTTGAAAGTCGGGGTAAATACTGTGAGGTTTCCCAGTCCTGAGCCCTACAACCCCCAGTCCCCTAGGTATATCTCCTGGACAGCTGGGTGCTACAGGTGTTCTGGGTCCATTAGGGCCCATATATTCTGTCTTCTCATAACAGACAGTCTTCTGGGACCTCATGCCCAGTGCTCAGTTGCCCACCCAGGAGAAGAGGCACTTCCTGGACCCCACAGGGAGGAGCTGTTCACCAGGATCCATGACATGGGAGGATACAGTCACCTTTCCCTTCCCCATCCTCCAGTCAGGGCAAGATGTCCTCCCACCCTCAGCTGCCCCTGACCTCCCACTCACAGGCAGCTTGGAGCCCTCATGGGCATGGCCTGGTGCGTAGATGTTGAGGTACAGGCAGTCCTCAGACATGGGGATGGACAACATTGTGAAATTCAGTTTTTTAGCATCATCACCCATTATATCGAGGTTCTGTGGACACCTGAAATCACCCAAGCAGACATTAGTGCAGGATCTATGCAGTGGCCCAAGCCAGAACCTGGGTCCCTGATTCTCTCCTTTGCTCTTCTCTGTGATGCTGCTCATTCTTAAGCCTGCCCTCATATCCCTTCTGTCCCAGATACACATCTGAAACTGCTGGGAAGCTGGGATCGCACCAGTTTCCAGGGACCTTCCAGGCAGGTGGAGACTGATATAGCACACCTTACTCTTGGGGTCTCCTGGCAGGTTTTGCCTGCAGGTGCTGACTTCAGTGTGTCCCTCTGCACAGTCAGGCCCTGAGCACAGGTGCCTCCCCGACACACTCTGGGTGTTTGGATGCCCATCCCTTCCTGAGGGAAGACAGTGAGATGGCCAATTTCCTGGGATCCTTGGCACTCATCACTCCTGCCCTGCCTCCAGCTGTGAAACACACACACGTCTTTTGGCTAATATCCTTTTCCGTGGTTTAGCTCTGTGCTCATGCCTGGTTCCATTGATGCCCATCTAAGTACCTGCAGGATCTATTGATGCAATCAGGGACTCCTACAAGCTTTGGCTAGACCACCTGGGGAACTCACCCAGGACAATGCCCCCTCACCAGGGCAGCACAAGAATGTGGCAGAAGCTAAACTTGGGGAGCTGAGTCTCTCCCTCCATCTTCAGCACCTGGAACTAAAAGCCTCAGAGTCCCAAGTCCTGAGCCAAGAACCTGGCAGGAGCCTGGCAAGCCCACTGAAAGTGTTCTCGCAGGAAGTCCACAGCACACAGATGGTTAGTAGTGATGAATGACTTGAACGTTGGCCCTGAAAATTGATAATGTCCCCTGCCCTTTTAGACCCGACCCCATTTTAAATATTTGCTTCCCTTAGGTCTCAATTTTCTTCAGGTTTGCCCTTTAGGTTCAAATTTTGCTCTTTGTCAATCAACTGTAAACTTGTAATCTTGCTCTCCATCAATCCACTGTAACCTCATGACTCTGTACTCTATGACCCTATCCACCAATCCCTTGCAGCCCATATCTCTTGTTCCCACCCTGACAGCCATCCCAGCCCCTATTCACAATACCCTCCCCTTGGTCATCAAAGCATATTCCCACATGTACTCTTTCTCTGCTCCTGCTTCTTCCCCGTGGCCACCTTTCGCATTGGAATAAAAACCTCCTATATGACTCACAAAAGATTCCTGAGAGGTAGGCATCGGCTGTGGATGAAAAGACAGCTGGCTTGACCTAGCACTTGGAGGTTCCCAAACCCACCCTGGACCTGATGATCCTCAGGACCCTGGAAGAGCTTACATGGCTGGGTAGGAAGTGCCGTCCCTCACTCCATTCCAAGCTTCAGCAGGTTCAGGAGGTGCAAAGCGCAGTGGTCCCAGAGGTGGCTTGGCAAACGGAATGCCCAGGAAGGTATGAACGCCCACGTTGGTGCCTTCCACGTGGACCAGGCTTCCTCGCACCTGCCCAGAGTGTGTGGTCCTGATGGGGCTTGTGGAGTCCTGGCCTGTGGGCAGAGAGATACAATCAGGGAGAGTTGCTCCAGACAATGCTGCTGTGACTTCCCTCTTACCATCCTCAGCTCAGCCTTGTCCAGAACACGATGCACACCAACACACACACTCACTTCATGAAGTTCCTGTGTGAAACATCCTGATTCCATCCTAATGAGATGATCAGAAAGAGCCCATTTGTAGTGACCAAAAGCCCTTGTGGACTTTCACAGCTGAGGTCAGGAACTATACTCAGTGAGAAGTAAAAGAGAGGGAAAAAATAAGAGAATCTTCCATTCATTAATTCATTAATTCACTCTCCAGAAGGCCACTGTACCTTGGGCAGGCCCAAGCTAAAGCCAGGAGCCAGAAATTCCATCTAGGTCTCCCACTTGGGTGGCAGCAGGAGCCAAAGCACTCAGGCCATCTTCTGCTGCTTTCACAGGTGCTTTAGCAGGCGGCTGGATCAGAAGTGGAGTAGCCAGGACTCAAACTTGAGTTCTTACAGGATGCTGGCACTGCAGGTGGCAACTTAACCCTCTGCATGTCAGTGCTGATCTCTCTGTTTCTTCTTTAAAAAAAGTTTTCCAGGAAAAAACAACTTATAAGCACATCATAATAGTACCAAAGATGTATTTTTGTGTTGTTTTCAGGAATGTGGAACTGCAACACTCCAGGGAACACCTGAACCTTCTTGTAACATTGGGAGACTCTTTGCCCACACCAAGAATCAGCTGTAATCTTTCTGAACATGGAACCCACATGAAATATTGTTAGAGTCCTAGAGACAGGGCTGTGGCCTATAAATTAACTGTTTCCTGTAATGCCACCATCCCACATCAGAGCACCCATGGGAGTCCCAGCTCGCTGCTAATGCACCTGGGAAGACAGCAGAGGACAGCCTGAGTGCTTGGGCCCATGTCACTCATGTGGAGTTCCTGATTCTTGGTTTCCATGTAGCCCATCTCCACCTGCCACGGCCCTTTTTAGAGTGAGCCAGCCCCTGGAAGATCTCTTTCTCCCTCACTTTCATTAAGCTGTCTTTCAAATAATTAAAACCTTAAAGAAATTGATAAGTAACTGATTAATAGAGTCATCTGAAAGGCCAGGTAGCCTTCCCTCCAGAAAGACTGAACCACCTTGGAGAGTGAGGGCAAGGGGAGGTAAAGGTGAAATTTCAGCAGGGGGTGGAGGGGGAGGATGGGCAGAGGGCAGGGTGAGTATGGATCCCTTTTGGCAGATTAGATTGAGAAACTGTTGGGGGGTAAACGGGTGGGGGAGTAGGCCTTTTGACCCAGAGTATCAAGGATCAAAACACACCCAGGTCTGGTGCCCTCACTGCCTGAGCTTCTGATAAGAGACCCAAGAGCACTGGCAGGGCACAAGACACTGCCAGCTTTGCCTTCAATTACAAGCCTTTGGGAGGCTGGCACCACGGTATTATACAATGAACTTCCATCTGTAGTGCCAGCATCCCAGATAGGTGTGGGTTCAAGTCCTGGCTGTTCCATTTTTAATCCAGCTCAATGTTAATGTGCCTGAGAATGCAGTGGCTGGTGCTCCAGGTTGGTCCCCTGAACCCACATAGGAAACCCAGAGACAGCTCCTGCCTCCAGATTGACTCAGCTCCCACTGTCGTGACCATTTGGGGACTGAACCACAGGATGGAAGATTTCTCTCCCTGTCTCTCAACTCTGCCTAATTTAATAATAATAATAATAATAATAAAGTTTTTTTAAAAAGCCTTTGGCCCCAAGATAAGTGCATGGGCTGGGGGACCCTGTGGCCCCTCAGACCAGTTGTAGCCCAACGCTCCCTGTGCTCCCAGGACCAGTGACCTTGCCCTGGGACCGCTCAGAGGACAGCTGTGGGTCTCTGACCAAGAACAGCAGTCAGCACACAGTGGGAGAAGCCCTAACCACATGTTCACAGCACGTGCAGACAGCACTTAGGCACAGCACCCAAGTCAGCCACAAACACAGGCAGGAAATGCTCTCAGGGCCTCCACCACAAGCTGCCCCCTTAACTCCCTCCTCTGTATCTCCCTTCTTGCTGACTCTGGCACCTGGCAACCAGGACGCCCTCTCAGCCTAGGGGCAGATCCAGGGCACAGGGGCACCACACCCTTCCATTTCACCCGCCAGCCCACCGGCTCCAGAGCTCTAACAGCCAATCCAGTAAGGATCCCTGTGGCCACCCGTGGGAGCCTCACCCTGGCCCAGGACGAGGAGCAGCAGGAGCCTGAAGGCCAAGGCGATGAATTGCGTGCACAGCCAGTGGGGCCCCATTTTCCCAGGCAGGTCTGTGTGTTGTGCTGCAGCTGTGTGCACCAGAGGCTGTCCTGGGTGCTCGGAGGGTGGAGCAGGGTTTTGCTCAAGCTGGAGTTTGCCCTGGGTAGGTCGGTTTCTGGGGCGGGGCGGAACGAGGGAATCAAACTGGAGAGCAGGACTGAGCTAAGCGGGAGGTCAGTGGGCAGGGTGCCAATCGGGGCAGGGTCTTGGGTTTAAGGGGAACCCAACTGACCCAGCAAAGCTGCAGTGCAGACCATGAAGCCAGTGAATGGCCTCCACACTTCTGTCCCTGTCTGCTTGCTCCCGTCGGTCCTGGAGCCACTGAGCTCACTATCCTCACAGAGAGGAGGGAGCAAGGGGCTGGATTTGGAGAAGCCAGGAGGCCTTCTCAGTGAGGAAACCAAGTAGAGAATCCCCAGAGATGGGGACATGGCACAATCTTCTCTGGGGGTTCAGGAGTGAACCCCAGGAGGTGTGATTGTCCCTGAGCACTTGGAGCTCTTCCCTGGCTCAGGACTCGGTTTTCTTGTCCTCACTAATTCACAGGCCAGGATGCAGGATCTACATCTACTATGTGTTCCACGCTCCTGGTACTGGACAGCATCCAAGAGAAGTACAAAGAGGATGTCTGGGAGAAACCAGTGCTGCAGTGTTTATTGTGGTACCCACTGATAGTGGCAGGCTGTGGAGTCACCAGAAGTGTTCACTGACTTATGAATTTGTAAAGGATTCTGGCATAGACACACCATGGAGTGTTATTCACTCTCAAAGAATGGAATCTTTTCATCTGTGGCAATGTGGTTACATGGAGGACTTCATGTTGAATGAAAGAAGCCAGCCACAGAAAGACAAACATTCACATACACACTTTGATGTATTTTTACCCAAGATTTATTTTTTATTCGTTTAAAAGACACAATTACCAAAACAGAAGGAAAGACAGTCCATGTGCTGGTTCATCCCACAAATGGCCACACCAACTGTGGCTATGCCACTTCGAAGCCAGGAGCCCACACAGATGCAGGGACCACACTTTTTGCCCAATCTCTGCTATTTTCCCAAACGCATTAGCAGGGAGCTGGATTGGAAGGGGAGCAGCCAGAACACAAACTAGTGTCCACGTGGAATGCTGGCACCACAGACAGTGACTTAGTTCATTATATCACAGCGTTGGGCCTGCACTTACTTTCAAAACCTAACCAAGTCGATGTCACAGCAGTAGAAAGAACAATAGTAATCACTACAGAGTAATAAAGGTAGGAAGTGGTAGACTGTATAATGGTTGGATAACGGTTGGCAAAATGCACACAAACAAGATGATTCTAGTGTTCTAGACTGTGGAGGGTGCCTAACATTGACTTTTAAAAGACTTAGTAGACAAGAGTTCAGAGGCCCATATAGATGTATTCATTGTCCTGATTTGACCTTGGTATGTGGTACACATTTTTACAGGGTGGCAAGTCCCCAGCACATGATGCTGAATGGAAAGACAAAAGGATGAGTGTGAGTGGCACATGAACTTAGAATCCAGCCAACAGCTCTTCTGAGAGTGTGGATGGGTACCGGCCTGTGAGTCCTTCATGCAACCTTGACGTGGCAGCTACAGCTCCACATGATCCTGCTCAGCCCCCATCAGCTCCTGCATCCTCTGGGGCAGATACTTGGTCCAGAACTGGCGCCTGTGGGCCTTTAGGACCCGGCCCACCGCAGGCTGTGTGCTCAGCTGCAAGTACTGCTCCTCCTGGTCCAACATGGGCCAGTGTGGCAGGCCCTCACCATTGGGGTTCCTGTAGACGAGAGGTCACGAAGGAGGGCCATGGGGACTTTGAGCAGCCTCTCTGGGGTCGGGCAAGGTCAGAGTGGTGGGGGATGGTTTGTAGGAATAGGAGAGCTGCCTCCTCTGATTTCAGCTGCACATAGGGACCTACCAACCCAGGATGTGGTGTCCTCACTCCCATAGGGAACCTCTGAGAGTGACATTTCATGGCCAAGTCAAGGACATAGCCCCGGACAGGTGGGAGTAGGGTGGAGCGTCTCACCCGGTGCGAGCAAAGTTGGCCCAGTACTTCATCATCCTCCTGCTCAGCAGCTCCTCCTCCTCAGTGAGAGTCACTGCAGCAGGGAAGGACACAGGGTCAGCTCAAGTAGGAACAGGCCCACTGCCCCACCATGATCACACATGCCAGTGCAAGTAGAAATGGGCCAATCTCTATTCTCTCCCCCATCATTCTTGGGAACCCTGCCCTCCCTCTTATCCAACAATCCTTTCCCCAACTCAATCTCTAGAAGTGACACTCATTCACTTCTGGTCCAAAAGAAAAAAAAACAAAAAACAAACAAACAAACAAAAAACCTTCTTTTTTCTGATTCTGAGAAGCCATTTAAGAAACCAATACACTTTTGAAATATGGGCCCCTATTCCCAGATGAAACACCTGTCTCCAGGGCTGGCAGAAGGGGAGGGAGTACAGGCTGAAGGCTCTTGCTCTAGTCCTGGCACAGCCCTCAGAGCTGTAACATTGAGCACCTGTCCCACTCTCTAAGGCTTGGTCCCCTCATCTGTGCAGTGCGAGCAATGCTCCCCGAGGGACCAGGCCATAGCCATATCTCATCTCTAGAGGAATGAGAAAGACTCACCCTGAGTGGCCCTGAAAAAGTTCCTGAAGATAAGGAGAACCTCATCCCCGTGGTCGGCCTTCACATGGGGCGGCTTGGTATCCTGGAAGAAGCTGGGCCTATGCTGGAACTCGTAGAAGTAGACCGGGGAATGGCAACCTGGGTGTTGGGGGTGGAGATGGGGTAGAGGAGCCACTGTCTGGAAACCATCAACCTGAAGCTTTCCTGCCTCGCCCTTGGTGATGAGCTCTTGTCCCCAGCAGGACTAAGTAAGGGAGCAGTGCAGAGTGGAACAGGAGCAAGGGAACTAGCCTAGCTTGGGGCATGATCTTGGACTTCAAGCTGGGAGTGTCGCTGAAGCATGCTTACCCATCCCTGACCTGTCAGCTAGGGGAGATTCTGCCTCCAAGATCGGCCATGAGGATTGGCTCAGATCAAGGACATCAAGCACCTGTCACTCAGGGTGGATGGGATGAGACAGACCCTACCAGGGACTCATGGCTCCGAGCTGCCTTCTTGCCAGAATGGCATTAATCATGGATCAACTCACGCTGCAAATGTGCTACTTGGAGGGCGGGAATCAGGAAGATCAAGTCCCCCATCATCTCCAGGAAGTGGATCTTGAGGGTCTGGGGGTCCTCAGTATCTCCCAAGTACTCCTCCATCAACATGTCCCCAAACTCAGGGGGCAGCATCTAGTCAAGGTGATGGGTAACAGGCAGTGTTAGACAGACTTGGGGAAAGAGAGACAGTAGGCTCAGGGTAGGGGAGGCAGGTCCTAGGCCTCCCTCCTCTGGGCAGGACCCCAGGAGTCTTACCATATGCGCCAGTGGTCTCTGTACAAAAGTCCGCATGGTCTTTCTGTCCACTTCCTTCTGTGTGGCATAGAGGCCCAGGCTCTGGGTGGTGAGAGGACAGTCTCAAGTGTGGGCTGGAAGATGCTCCAGTCAAGGAGCCTGAGGCCTCCCCACCACAAGTGCTCCCCAGGCACTCACCGAGGGAATGATCCAACCATACTCATCATTGTTCACTCCAATGATGCTGGGCACAGGTTGAAAGTTGGCTGAGGAGAGCAGCTCCAAGGGGTGCTTGGGCAGGAAGGCTCCATCCACCACCCCAGAAATGATCTTGAAGGCCTGAGGGCACATTCAAGTTCAGGAGCATTTTTTGGCTCAGCCTGGGTAATGGGTTCAACACTGTACTACAGTTAGAATGACCTCACTTTTACTTTTCTCCAGGACAGTGAGGTCACCCAGGCATGGAAAGGAATTCCCACACTTGGGCCCTTCACCCTCTCCCCATCAGTCCCTGGGAATTTAGCTTGACCTTGGTGATGTTCAACATCTCCTCCTCACTCTTGTCCCGCAGACAAGCCACCAGGGCCTCGGAGTCCCCATGGTCACAGGCAGATAGATTGGCCACCATCTGTAAAAGGACCATGCAGGTGTTGATTCATCCTTGCAGGAAGGGAGTGAAATTCATCCAAAGCCTTGACAGGAACAGAAATGCCCCGGCTCTCATGTGACATTGCATGTTGGTTGTGCAGTTTTGATAGTGTCCCAACTTTGCCTATATTTAGAGGTACCAGTTAGGGTGACCAATCAAGGTGATAGTTTGACAGGTTACAGGAAGTCTCAGGTTATATAAATTCTGACCTCTCTGCCCCTGAGCAAGGCCGGGGTAGGCACCAGCTCTGGGGCATCTTGGTGGTCCTTGTCATGTACAATAAAAAGATAGTAACAGAGGCTTGAGAGACAGGCCAGGGCTTCTATAGTGTCCAGGACTCACCGTGGAGATGGCATCAGATGAATTCAAGATGAAGCGGGGCAACAGGACTACCCCACTCTGCATAATGGCTCCATGGAAGAGTCCTTGCGACATGGGTGACAGGACGTGTGAGGACACACTTATGCCTCCTGCAGACTCGCCAAATATGGTGACCCGGTCAGGGTTGCCTCCAAAGTGGGCAATGTTCTGCTGTACCCAGCGCAGTGCAGCCACTTGGTCCAGGTAGCCCCAGTTGCCGCTGGCGTGCTGGTCTCCAGTGCTGAGAAATGTCAGGGACAGGGATGGCAGGGCTGTCCCAGGACTGTTCTTCCCTCAGTTCCCAGCCCAGACCCAGGCTCACCTGAAGAATCCCAGGACGCCAAGGCGGTACTGGATAGTGACCACTACTACATCCTCAAAGGCTGCCAGGGCAGAGCCATCATACAAAGATGCCATGCCTATAGTCAGGGAACCCCCATGGATCCACACCATCACCTGGAGATGTCAGGGTCAATGCCAAGAGGTCACCCCTAAACCTAAAACCCACTTGAGCTGCTACCTTGACTAACCAATGTTCAGTTTTCTGCACCTGCCCATACACAGAACTCTAGTGAG